GTCATATGTTGAACACTGTATAATGCCCCACCGCCTCAATGATCCGCTGTTTCCTTGTTTCACTTACAATGGTTTCATTTGTTCATGTATCAGATCGATAGGACAGACACTACTGTGGGGATCCTAGCATACGTCTATGATGCTTCGGTTAACCATATGACGCCACTCTTACACGAAGATCCCTAGACGCCATTTGACCTTTATCCTCGCAGGATCCTCGACTCTGTTAATTCCTTCTTCCTTACATATAAGAGGTATATATTATAGGCATTGTGCGTGATCAGCCACATATACATCCTCGCACCGGCAGCAGTCCTCGTCATTGTTACATAGTATGCCCCATGTCACTCGCCACCGGCGTAGCCTCTCTCTGGGCATTTGCTATACATACATCCTGCACCTCTCTCGGCAGGCCGTAGTAGTCTGAGTACAATAGCAATGCACAGACCACAACAACAACCTGCGCATGCCACGAGAGCCAGACACAACACAAGACTGACTCACAAACTCAGACACGCCACACCATAAACACAGAGGGATATGAATTTGCAGGCACTGATCGGTGCCAACAATCATTAATTGCGGGTGCTTTATAGGATACTTATGTCACTGATATACGTTAATTGTTTATAGCCACTATTACACGTATGTGACACCGTTTCGCAGTGAGGGAAAAATGTTCTCGGGTGAAAAGGTCACTAGTATTTGTCATTTATTTGTTCAGTATAACATTTCCTGATTCATTTAGTAAAGAAAGTGTTGAAAATTGCTAGCTCAAAATAAATATTAGATAAGTATAGTATGAATACTGACTAATCCATAACACTTTGTGTATCGAGGATCTTGATTTTAGTTATCCTTTTATTTCTCAAGTATATTTATAAGTGAAAACATATTTGTGTTATGAAGCATACTCTTTATCAGTCAGTGCAGTGGTTTGTGCCTTATGTCACCGATCTTACTCTTGTCCCTTACCAAGGTGGTTTGTTGTAAGTTTGTTTTTAATTCTAATGTAACTAAGGATTTCTTGAAATGTCCATTAGTCATACAGTATGTTAATTAGCGTTAGCCTACCTGTCTGTTCTGACCCGAGGAGTGTGTTTGCGATGCGTTCCTGCCAGCAGCTGCCTGGTGTCTTGTGATTCAGAGCTAATTTGTGCTGCTCCTTTTGATATTTTGCAGCAAGCAGCTGCAGCCGAGGATAGTCCGGCAGCATCCTGGCAAACCCATTGTGCCATCCTCCCAACACATTGTTTGTTCGAGGCAGATCATTCTTCATATGATACATGTTCCAAGTCTGATATAGAAATTTCCCAGGAATTTCCTTGTCACCATGAATCAGCTGGCCAACATAGGTTTCCATACCATCCTACCCCAAGCTCGATGTTTCATCGTACGACGGAATGAATGAAGATTAGCCTC